AACAGACCAGCCCCCGGAGCCGCCACGCCCAGAGATCCTACAATAACAGACCAGCCCCCGGAGCCGCCACGCCCAGAGACCCTACAATAACAGACCAGCCCCCAGAGCCGCCACGCCCAGAGATCCTACAATAACAGACCAGCCCCCGGAGCCGCCACGCCCAGAGACCCTACAATAACAGACCAGCTCCCGGAGCCGCCACGCCCAGAGATCCTACAATAACAGATCAGCCCCCAGAGACCCTACAATAACAGACCAGCCTGTCCACCCCCTGAAGGGCTGAGCTCCCCAGAGCTTAGGCCAGCTCCAGGAGGGGGATATAAATATTCCCCATTCACCTCCCCCCCCCATTGGTGCCCAGCTCCCAGCCCTGCGGGAAGTGGGGGAGGAGCTGGGGGGACCCAGCCCCGACCGCTCCCACGGAGCAGAGCCAAGCGGACGTCTCACCCGGGGATCCATGCGGCAAAGCCGCTGGCATTGTCTGCCCTCGCCCACAGGAGACCCCCCGTGCCAGTTGCCGCTGGTGGCACACTGGGATTTCTAGCCACATGTGCCCCCCCCCGCCCTGGCACTCACGTATCCCAGTGCCGGGGGCGGCCTGCAGGGACCCCAGAGCAGAGCCGAGCTCGGGGACCTGCTCCGGCCTGGGACGCAGCCCTGCCGGCGGGGGCAGCTCCAGGGGCCGGTTCCCCTCCGTGATCCGCTCCAGATGTGGCCACGCAGGGTGGGCCGGGCGGAGCTGCATTTCTGTGGGCACCTGCCAGGGCCCAAAGCAGCTTCGACCCAAAGCTCCTGACCCACTTTGGGAGGGAGCTATGCCGGTCACAGGGAAACTGAGTCACGGGACGTGGCCTACCCCACAATGACTCATTGACAGCCTGGAACAGAACCCAGGAGTCCTGGCTCTCTCCCCCCACAACCAATAGATCTCGCTCTCCTCCCAGAGCTGGGAGAGAACCCAGGAGTCCTGGCTCCCAGCCCCCCCCGCTCTAACCCACCAGCCCCCACTCCCCTCCCAGAGCCGGGGGAGAACCCAGGTGTCCTGCTGTTCCCCTTTGGCTGGAGGCTCCGGCAGCAGCTGGCCTCCGACGTGGCTCTAACGGATGCTCATAATTCCAGATCGTTTCCCAACTTCCTGTCGGCTCCCGGCCGGCGTCTGGGACCCCTTGAGCTCGGCTGGGTCGGCCCTGGGGAACTCGGCGGTTGTCTCTGCCAGGGGCAGGGGAATGGGAGTGCTTCCTGCACACGGCCCCGCGGCGAGCGCTTCCCAGCCTGCCCCATCAGCCCCGCTGCCAACCGTCTGCTCCAGGTCCCCAGAACCCCAAAGCCCATCCCCCCTCCTGCTCGGCTGGGCTCCACGGCAGAGAGCCAGGGATTCGCACCCCATTTGCGTAGGGAAACTAAGGCACCGAGCAATCGCAGTAGCCCGAGGTCAGCACTGCGGAAGCAACAGGGGATTCTGCTAGTTCACCTGGGGGGTGTCAGAGCCCGACGGCCCCGGCGAGATCCCAGCCTCCGCACAGACTAGAGACAGGATGAATCGCAGCCGTCTCTGGGGTGGGGCGCGGGGACCCGGCGCCAAGATGCAGCCGCCTCTGGGGCGGGGCAGTTGTTTATGCAGGGAGCTCTCCCCTGCTGGTCCTGGCGTGGCAAGGACCAAGCGCCACAATGTGACCCCTCGAACGTTCCCTCAAAGCACTTCCCAGACGCCAGCCCTGCTCCGCGGCCGGAGAGCTGGGAGCCACTCATCCCCGAGCCCTTCCTGCGGAGCAGCAGGGAGCGAACCCAGGAGTCCGGCGGCCTGGGTCCCCCACCCACCCGCCTGCCCAGAGCTGAAGTCGAGCCGCAGAGCCCCGGTCCCCACTGCTCCCCCTCGTGCTGGGCCCTGCACCCAGCCCCTCCCCAGAGCCAGACGCAGACACTAGGCCTCCCAGGAGCAGCCTGCCAGACACTAGGCTGCAAAATACAGACCCATCGGCTCCCCTGCCCCCCTCCCCGGGCTCCTGAGTCACCGAGCTTCCAGGGGCCGCATGATTAAGGCAAGCAGCGGAGGGGGGGGCGTTGAGTCTTTTGATCATTGCCTGGGATACGCCACATCCTCCTTCCCCAGCAAAATCTGTCACATCCCCAGGCCGGCTGCAGCCGCCACCTGTTCCCAGAGCAAACATGCCCCAGCCTGGGAATTACGGGGCAAGAAGCCAGAGATCAGAGGGGTCAGGGAAGGGGGAGGGGGGGTTGCACTGGGAAGAGCCCCCTTGCTTTGGGTGTGACAAATATCCGCTCCTCCCCTGCCGGGGCTGGCACACCCCGCAAGAGATCGGTCACCCCCAGACGTGGTGGCTGCCCCCAAGAAGTAGCTGTTTTGAGGGGTGGGCGTTTCGGCCCCTTCCCCATCCACGCGCTCCACAGACAGGCCCATGCAAGCAGCTCCCCTGGGTGCCAGGCTCCCCCGGCCATTCTGGGGTGGCCTGGGATCCCCCCGTTTGTCCACACTCCCTGGTCTCCTGTGTCTGAAAGAAACCGCCCCGGGCGGGTAACCGGCGCCGATCTCGGGTGGTTTCTTTGCAGCCGAAGGGGGCACGGCCGTGGGGAGACCCTAAATCCGTTCTCCCGGACGCCGGCTCCTCTTCCGTCCGCACCCCAAGAGTTTACACGCCCCCCACTGGATAGCATCACAGATCAGCGGGCCCAGCCCGCACGACCCGCCAGCGTCAAGCGGGCCAGACGGGCGCTGTGCAAAGGGGCGCCCCGGGGCGATCGATCGCGCCAGCGTGGTTTGGATCAATCGCCCAGCCCGCGCCATCTGCCAGCGCTCAGCCCCCCCTCCGCGGCTGCCTCTGGTTTCCAAGGCCCCGAACCACAGTCCTGCCAGATCTGCAAAACGCTAGAAAAATAAATGACACATTTCTCCCCCGTGCGGCTCCCACCTTTTTTTTTTTGGGGGGGGGGGAAGGTTTCCCTTTTCCCAGCACTGACTCCCCCCCACTTCAGCTCTGCAAAATCAGTCAAATCCCCCATACCGACCCAAGGCCCAGACCCCCCCGTTTCCACAGGCCTAGGGAAGGGAGCGACCCAAAGGCCCTGGGGGGCGGGGGGGGGCACAGACCCCACTCTTATTTCTGTGGCTTTGGAGAAAATAATCGGGGCGGGGGGGGGAAGCGAGGCCCACAGCCCAGGCTAGGCAGCAGTTCCCCTCCCTCCCGGACCCGGCACCAGGGCTGGGGGGGGGACCCCCAGAACTCTCCCCCCCCTCCAGCATGCTGCAGACCGCAGCTAATAAATCCATCCGGTGCCCCCCCCCGAGAGCAGCCCTGCCCCCCACCCCGACATGGGATCTGTACTAAATGCAGGAAGGGGAGAGGATGGGGGGGGGGTCCCGCTTTGTAGAGCCCCCCCAGCCCCTGTGCAGCCGCCACTCGGGGGGGGGCAGCCCCGGGGGGGGGCTGGGTTTCGGAGCTGAGCCCCCCCCCTTTCCGAGACATTTTTGCAGGGGGGGGGGCTGCACCATGGGGGGGGGGGGGGCGATTTGCAACGTGCACAAGGCGCGGGGGGGGGGAGTCGGAGCCCTGCACCCCCCGCCCAGGGCCCCGGGCCGGGCCCCCTTACCCGGGCGCTGGCTGGCTCCGCAGGCACCGAGCGGCCCCCCCGGCCGCCCCCGGCTCCGGCTCCGGCCCCGGCCCCGGCCCCTGGTTGCAGTGACGCGCACGCGCCGCCTTCGCCTCCCCGGGAGCATTCCAGCCGCTGGCCACGCCCCCGCCTCACCACTATGCAAAGAGAGCCACGCCCTCCCGTGCGCGAGGCCTCACGGCCCCGCCCCCTCCATTGGCCACCCCTTGCTCAGCGCCTCTCAGCTCCCCTCCCATTGGCTGTGGCGTCATGAATATGCAAATAGGACTTCGCTGACCTTACCCCCCCCTTTTTTTTTTGGTGCAAGAGTCCCTCAGCCTGCTCTCATTGGCCCCCAGGCTCATGCATATGCAAATATACCTCCCCCTCCGTTGATAGGCACAAGGGTTGACCCCCCAGACTGGGCCCGGTGCTCAGAGGCGGGGGGGGGGCATGTGACCCCTTTACCCCTTGGCCACCTTCCTCCGAATAGACCCCCCCAGACCGCATCCATCACCGGCCCCATCTCACCCCAACCAATTGAGACCCCTGACCAGAGCAAGTGAGAGATGGACCCCCCCACCTGACCCCTTAGCCCCCCAGATCCCCTCCAGAGTCGGGCGGGGTTGTCGCCGCAGAGAGAAAAGCCCCACCTCAGGGGTGCTGCCAGCACAGATCAGAACCGGGCCCCACGGCCCCTCACCCGGCCAGGCCCCCCGGTGTTGCTAGTGGCGCCGTTCGATACAGATGGGGGCGGCTTTGTGTGTGTGTGGACGCCCTTAAACCGGTTCAGACCCGACGGAGGGCAGCTGAGCTAGACGGAGCCACCCGCGGCCACCAGCTCGGTCCATCCGCTGCCACTTCTCTGGCTGGCCCCCCCAGTGCCAGGGTTTGACTCCGGGGCACCCGTGTCCAGCCAGGGCCTGCAGTTGGCCACGCCAAGGGGCTGAGGTCGAGCCGGGGCCAGCGCCGGCGGGAGCTGTCCCCCACGCTCCTTGGAAGCCACGCTGGCGGCAGCTGCTTCCGCGCCCCGCCTGGGCTTTGACCCCACAGGTCGGCCCTCGGCAGCTCCCGGCTTCCTCTGCTCAGCCGGCTCGCTCGCCTGTGATCCATAACCAGCACAGGGTGACCGGATGTCCCGATTTTATAGGGACAGTCCCGATTTTGGGGTCTTTTTCTTATATAGGCTCCTATTACCCCCCACCCCATCCTGATTTTTCACATTTGCTGTCTGGTCTCCCTAAACCAGCATGGCACTGCCAGCTCTGATGTCATGGGGGGGGGGGACTTCATGCGGGGAGCGGGGGGCACAGCTGTGAGCCGGGATGGGGCTGTTTGCTCGCACAGGAATGAAAACACTGCCTGGCCAGAGCATTGTTCCAACCCCCGGGGCAGCACCGTGACAGCCTACACGGGGCAGGACACCTGGGTTCTCTCCCCACCTCTGGGAGTGGGGTCTGGTGGTTAGAGCAGGGGGGGCTGGGAGCCAGGACTCCTGGGCTCTCTCCCTGGCTCTGGGAGTGGGGTCTGATGGTTAGAGCAGGGGGGCTGGGAGCCAGGACTCCTGGGTTCTCTCCCCACCTCTGGGAGTGGGGTCTGGTGGTTAGGGCTGGGAGCCAGGACTCCTGGGTTCTCTCCCTAGTTCTGGGAGGGGAATGGGGTCTAGTGATTAGAGCAGGGGGGGCTAGGAGCCAGGACTCCTGGGTTCTCTCCCTGGCTCTGGGAGTGGGGTCTGGTGGGTAGAGCGGGGGGACCAGGAATCTGGACTGCAGGGGGCTTGTGCCCATCCGTCAGGCAGGCGATAACCAGTTGTGAGCTGCACTAAATGAAGTTGGCCCAGGAGTGTTGGGCTACGAACCCTCCGCTGCGCGGCAGGGGAGGTCGCTGTGGCCCTGGGATGAACGTGCCAGAGCTGGGGATAGGATCCGAGAGTCCTGGCTCCACCGCCCCCCAATGCTGGGACCCTCCGCACCCCACTAACAATAAAGACCAATGAACGACCTCGTGGGCAGAAAGCAGCTCGCCCCCAGCCCCACGGGCTCGGTGGGGGAGGGAACGGTTAGGGGGTGACGCCCCATCCTGATGGCCCAGTCGAGAGACGCGAGCCGGGCGCTGGGGGGCTGAGTTTCCTGCCCAGCTCCGCCAGGGCCTCAGTTTTCCCATCTGAAAAACTGAGATGCTTCTTTGGTTAGACGGTGAGCTCTTTGGGGCAGGGCTCGTTCCACCCCGTGTCTGGGCAGCACCTGGCGCGACGGGACCTGATCTCGGCTGGGGTCTGGGCAGCGCCCGGTGCGACGGGACCTGATCTTGCCCGGGGTCTGGGCAGCGCCCGGTGTGACGGGACCCGATCTCGCCTGGGGGCGATGACTGGAACTGTGACCTAAGGGATTATTTCAGCACGAGACACTCAGGTCTGGCCATGGCCGCCCGGGTGGAGCTGCGGAGAGCGAACCATCTGGAGCTGGGTTCTGCACGTCCTTGCGGTGGGAAAATCTGCCGTGTTCTTGGGAGCTGCCGTGACGTTAGCCGGAAACAAACGCTCAGATTAAAACCAGCTGCCTGCTCCCTGCGTGACTCCGGGGGAATGGGCCACGGGGCCTGTCCCCTCTGGGGGGCGCTGGCTCCGACCCGGCCCCAGGGCGGGGACTGGCTGGCTCAGGGGGGCAGGGAAGGGGCCCGGGGCTGCCCCCTCTAGCGTAGGAGTCTGCCTGGGGCCCGGCGGGGCAAAGTGCCAGCTCCCGCAGTCAGCAGACGGCAGCAGGAGCTGGTTTCCCGGGGGGCGCACGGCCGGGAACTCCTCTCCGGCAGGCTGGGCTCCCCGGGGATCCGCGGCGGTTCCCGGAATCGGCTCCTCGCGGCGCTGGGAGGTGCTGGCTGGGGCACTGGGCAGCTCCCTGCTCTGGGGCTGGATTGGCCCAGCGGGTGAAGCTGCAGCGGGGTGGGGGAGCTGAAGACGGGAGATCAAAGCCTTGGAAAGAGACCAAAAGCGCCTGCCGCTGTCACGGGGCCGGAATCTGGGACACTGGGATGGTGCAGAACAGGGGGGGGGGGAGGGGCTGCAAAGACAGGGGGCCCAACGGGGGGGGACCCTAAAATGGGAATCGTGTCTATGTCTTTGCCTGGCTCTACAGGAACCAGCTGGGGGCTGCAACACTCTGCCCCCCAAGTGCCTCGCACCCAGCTGGGCCACCCCGTCTCCCTCCAGCTAGGCCAGCCCCTGCCCCCCGCAGCCCTCTCTGTGGGGACAGCAGTAGCGAGGGCGAAGGGGGAGCACGTGGAATCGGGACCTCCAACTTGGGGAGGGGGGAGCGTCGGGAGAAGAAATCGACAAGGCCCACCCAGGTGTAGGATTTAATGCACATGGCCCGGCGACAGGACAGCGACGCTGGCGGACACGGCCTGGCAGGGCCGCGGGCACAGACGGCCCCCGGAGCTCGGCCGAGTTCCCAGCCCACGGCAGCGAGGGCTGCGGTCGCTTCGGCGCTTCAGATCCCCCAGGTCGGGGTGCAGGGAGGTCCTGTTTGGGGTGCCAGGGCCTGGCCCGGTGCTAGGCTCCCCGCTCCCGGGCCCAGTACTGCCCGTAGAGCTCCTGGAAGAGGCCGTGGCAGGGGATGCGGGCGCGCAGCCGGGCGCAGAGCAGGAAGCAGCCGGCCAACTTGCGGTGCAGGGCGTAGCTCTCCTCGGGGGGCGGCGTCAGCCGGTGGCGCAGCATGACGGGGATCAGGGCCTGCACGCGCCGCGTGGTGCTCTGGGCGCCGAAGTCAAAGAGCCCCGGGGCGGAGAAAGCCTCCCCCAGGATCATCACCGTGTCCACGTGTGCCTCCTCGAACTCCTGGGC